CCTGTCCTCGTTCTCTCTTCGCTCTCGCCTGCCCCTATCTCTCTCTCTCGCTCGTTCGTTATCTTTATCTGTTCTCTCTCTTTCCGCTCTCTCTATAGCTCTACTCCTGCTCTACTCTCGCGAGTCTCTTTACTCTTTCTATTAGCCGTGCCCTCCGATCTCGTCTACACTCGTCTTCGCTCTCGCGTCTCGTCTCTCTGCGCTCGCTCTCTTGTATTCCTGTCTCTCTCGACTCTCTCTCTCTCGCTCGAAGCTCTCTCTCTGTTCTTTCCTACTTTCTCGTTCGATTTCTCTTTCTCTTTCTCTTTCTCTTTTTCTCTTTCTCCCCTTTCTTTCTCGCCGCTCTCTCTCTCCTCTCCCCCCACTCCCTACGTCTACTCCTCTCCTTCTCCTCTTCTTTGCCTTCTCGCTCTCTCCCTCTCGTCGCTTTCTCCTCTCTCTCCGACTCATCTCTCTCTCGCTCTACCGCATCTTCTACTCTTCTTCTTCTTTCTCTTTCTTCTCTTTTCTCTTTTCTCTTTCTCTTCTTTTCTGCCTTTTCTCTTTTCTCTCCTTCTTCACTCTCTTCTCTCTCCTCTCTCTCCCAGTCCTCATCTTTCTTTTTCTTTTCTCTGCTCCCCCCTCCCCCCTCCCTCCCCACCCCCGCACCCACTCCCTCCTCCCTCTTTACTCTCCCCTTTTCGTTCGCCCCTCCCCTTCCTTCTTCTCTTTTTGCACATCAACCGCTTTCATAGGCCCAGTGCTGTTGCTAACTAGTACAGCTGGTCCCGTTGTTTAGAATTCTTCCTCATCTTTGCAGTGTTAGCCCCTGCACAGACGACCCATTACATTGACCAGATCCTCTAGTGGCCGCTCTAACGATGAACAAATACATGTCTTCAAAGATGGAAGACAGTCGGGAGGAAGCGAGATCAGGTGGGACCATTCTAGCCAATGATATGATATGATATGATGATATAGATTAGACCATTCTAGCCAATGAGAGGACAGATACGCGTGTATACAACAGGTACAACTCTGATATAAAGTGTTTTTTTTTCCTCAAAGTTGCCGGGATGTTGATCACACCGTCCTCCTTATATCAGTACACTAATATCAACCTAAACATTACGAAAACGCGTATTCAATCAAATAAACCTACACGTAGCAAATAAGACGTTACACTTTTTTTTGTTGACAAAAAAATTTCCACACACTCTCATCGACCTCCATACAAAGACTATTCGCTTGGTTGGAGCGAAAAAACACCACCTGGCCCGGAGGAGACAGATTCTGGGCCGAGTTGGGCCTCTTGCGAAGCCTCTTCCTCTCTGGCCCACGTCGGTATGCTAGCGGGTTAAAGGTCATCCTCTTAAGACAGGAGGGGGTCTGATTGACCACTAATACGTTTCACGTTATCCATTTTTCTGCATGTATATTTATTTAGTGGCCAAAAAACAGTGAGCGTCTGGCTTTGATGCGTCATATAATTTACCGCAACGCCTCATAATAATATAATAATAATATGCCATTTAGCAGACGCTTTTATCCAAAGCGACTTACAGTCATGCGTGCATACATTTTTTTTGTGTATGGGGTGGTCCCGGGGATCGAACCCACTACCTTGGCGTTACAAGCGCCGTGCTCTACCAGCTGAGCTACAGAGGACCACGTCACTGACGTCTCATGACTTCAGTGCTGTAATAGTTCCAAGTGTTTTCTAATAAGAACAGCGGTAGAAACATTCTGGTGTCTTTACTCGACCCCCACCTTCTCTGGTGAGAAAAGTAGAAGAACTTCCCCCGCTGACTTTAACTAGCCCCTTATCTTCTCCTGAGAGGAATGAGGTAACATTAGTCCGGGGAACATTTCTCAACTGACACCCAAAAAACAAACCTTTACTATTCATTCACAAAATGGAAAACCTCCACTTGGCTTCAAAAAGACCGCAGAAGTCAACAGATAAATATTGTCCTTTGTGTGTGTGTGTGTGTGTGTGTGTGTGTGTGTGTGTGTGTGTGTGTGTGTGTGTGTGTGTGTGTGTATGCGTGAGTGTGTGCGTAGGTGTGTAATCTCTGCTTGGCTGCACTTGGAAGAAGGCCACATTCAACCAACTCTCTGGTCAATCAACAATCTAATTAGACCATATTCAACCAACTCTCTGGTCAATCAACAATCTAATTAGACCATATTCAACCAACTCTCTGGTCAATCAACAATCTAATTAGACCATATTCCATACCAGAGTTTCCCACTAACTACACCCTCCAGACACTGTTTAGAGTCAGACCCTGTATCACCTTAAACACACTCCTGAAACCAGTGGACAAACACAACAAGACAATGGAGATTTTATCAACCAAAAATATACTTTAGAATGGTTAGAGAGCCGTGTGTGGTTGATTTGATTTAGTTTATGCAGAACGTTTTTGCGCTCTGAAGGAAGTGGTTGCGATGCAATCAGAATGTTACGGCCAGGCCATGCATAAGGAGTCCATCTCTACACCATGCGTTGTCTAGTCTACACACTACAACGGCACACTTGTTTTGGCACATAAAAACCTTTTTATTTTATTTATTTTTTGTGTGTGAAGGAAGTTGATGATCTATGAAAGAGGAATCATCTGGGAACAAAGATGCGTTCCGAGGCTGTTTCCCAGGAAACGCTGCACAAGACTACCCCCAACACATGCGCACACACACACACACACACACACACACAAACTTGTGTGTCTCTACCTCGCCTGGCTTCCCAGCGGAGACCGCAGGAGGATAGATCCAGACAGGTTTTATTTTGGTTCTTTGAAGCCTTATTTTTCACCAGGTAAGTTGACTGAAAACGCGTTCTCATTTACAGCAACGTCCTGGGGAATAGTTACACAAGGGGAGAGGAGCGAGCCAGTTAGAAGCTGGAGATGATTAGGTTGCCACGGTGCATCCAGCTACAACAAACTGTCATCGACAGACAGACAGACAGACAGACAGACAGACAGACAGACAGACAGACAGACAGACAGACAGACAGACAGACAGACAGACAGACAGACAGACAGACAGACAGACAGACAGACAGACAGACAGACAAACAAACAAACAAACAAACAAACAAACAAACAGGGGGTTCCCAGGTACACAGACACACACTCCCAGGTGGTTGATCCTTTTCCGGTAAATTTTTTTAATCATTTCCTTCTGTGTAAAGACAAGACAGCCCTATACAAGCAGCAGGTACGTGGTGTATGAATAGGACAAGCTCCATTTATCATGGCTGTATTCTGAGTCTATGGAGCTTACTAAGCATCTCTTCTAAACAGGGTTTTTTTGACGTGAAGATGACCTGTTATTTAACTGGGTCTCCAGACTTTTACAGCAGGCTAGTTCTGTCCACTCCCAGGTTAAATGTTTCTTACAGCAGGCTAGTTCTGTCCACTCCCAGGTTAACAGGCTAGTTCTGTCCACTCCCAGGTTAACAGGCTAGTTCTGTCCACTCCCAGGTTAACAGGCTAGTTCTGTCCACTCCCAGGTTAACAGGCTAGTTCTGTCCACTCCCATGGGTTAACAGGCTAGTCTGTCCACTCCCAGGTTAACAGGCTAGTTCTGTCCACTCCCAGGTTAACAGGCTAGTTCTGTCCACTCCCAGTGTTAACAGGCTAGTTCTGTCCATCCCGGTTACACAGGCTAGTCGTCATCCAGGTAACAGGCTAGTTCTGTCCACTCCCAGGTTAACAGGCTAGTTCTGTCCACTCCCAGGTTAACAGGCTAGTTCTGTCCACTCCCAGGTTAACAGGCTAGTTCTGTCCACTCCCAGGTTAACAGGCTAGTTCTGTCCACTCCCAGGTTAACAGGCTAGTTCTGTCCACTCCCAGGTTAACAGGCTAGTTCTGTCCACTCCCAGGTTAACAGGCTAGTTCTGTCCACTCCCAGGTTAACACAGGAGTGTAAAGTGTACAGAGGTCCTCTGGGGGTGTGGCACCTCATGCATTGTCTCATTTTTGAAGGTTCAAATGTTTTTGTCTGTTTGCTACAATGTAAACTAGTCTTCTACTCTGCCCTCAAACAAATACGGCATTTTAAAATGAACATGGTCAGAAAACATCAAAATAACTCAAGTAACATCAACATTGCTGTGTCAAGTTTTATTTTAATACAACTTTCTGTCAATACAAGTCTGGGAATCAAAACGCCAGAAAAACATATTCAGGGGCAGCAGATGAACCCTTTAAAAGACAGGCCAGAGTTGTATTCATACTAAACAGAAGTCATCTGGTCTGTGTTATTGGTGTGTGTGTGTGTGTGTATGCGTGTGTGTGTGTAGATGTGTGTGTGTAATGTGTGTGTGTGTGTTTCTTTTTGGAAAGAATGCTTAGTTCTCCGCTTGGTGTTTATTTTACAGCTCACAGAAGCGTTGTCCTTAAACTATCAAACCCCTCGGTATCAAATATCACTTCAAAAAAAAAAAAAAAAAAAAAAAACATTGTTCTTCAAAGTCAAAGTCCACACACTCATATGAATAATATATAATTCATTCACTTTTTCCAAAGCAAAATACTTTATTCTAAAGAAAAATATAAAAAGTTGATGTGCTTAAAATACGATCAAAACCAGTAATGGTCAAAAGCAATGTGAACAACGTGACACCGCATCCAATATGTGCCTCCTCAAACAGTTATGTAGTACAGTAGAGGCCAGGGACTGTTTTAAGGGCAGGCAGCCAGTGGTTGGCCAGCTTGTCGGACTGTATTTGACCGACTGTTTTGGACGGACTGTATTTGGGTGTGTGTAACCTACATGGCTATACACAAGAGAGGCATCATGTTCCAGAAGTTTCTAAAGGGGGTGCTGGATGGCACCTTATGGAGCTGACTGTAGTCGACTGACTGTATTTGGATCTGTGTTACCTATATTCTCTATCGGTTCTGTTTGTAACGTTTGGACCAGGACCTAGACTCCCAGTTTGGATAAGGAGCGAGAGACCATGGCTGTAGTTCCTGTATTCCTGTCCAAGACCAAGGAGACCCTACTCAGAGCTCAGTCTTGCCCCCGACCGCTCCACCTGGCCCAGCCCCAGCTCCGGCCCCTTCCCCCTCCCCGTTGCTGGGTGGGCTGGAGGCTGAGGCAGAGGCAGACTGGAAGCCCAGAGAGGCAGAGTTGATGCAGTATCGTTTCCCTGTGGGTCTGGGGCCGTCATCAAACAGGTGTCCCAGGTGAGAACCACACTGAAAACACACAGAAAGGACTGATTTCTCAGCAATATCCAAGCAACGTTTTGTTGTATTGTAAATATGAAATCTAAATCTAAAAATCTGGAACCCCCTCAAAGGGGAACCAATAATCTACTCTCTACTTCCGCTCAACCAAACAGCGCTCCTATCCCTGCTACTCTTTTAACCTCTAGGCAGATCTCATATCTAACCAGGTCGTTATTGTAACAGAGAATTGGTTATCAATGACTTCAAAATAAAAGTGAAATAAGGTGACTTCGGCATACCTGACTACAGTTGGTCTCAACTCTGTGCATCCCGTAGGAGAAATCATCCGTTACGGTGACCGACTCCTCCTTCACCAGGTCATAGAAGGACGGCCAACCTGGAACACAGAAACAACAACACATCCTATTATCGGGAACTGGATCTCCACTGTTGCCTTCGCTACAGGGTAGACATCCTATAGGTGGTAAGATGGTATACACTGACTGTACAAAACATGGACTCTTAACAAGGTGTCGAAAGCGTTCCGGAGGGATGCTGGCCCCCCAATGTTGACTCCAGTGCTTCCCACAGTTGTGTCAAGTTGGCTGGATGTCCTTTTGGGTGGTGGACCATTCCTGATACACAGGGGAAACTGCTGTGCGTGAAAAACCCAGCAGTGTTGCAGTTCTTGACACAAACCGGTGCGCCTGGCACCTACTACCATACCCCGTTCAAAAGGCACTCAAATCTTTTATCTTGCCCATTCACCCTCTGAATGGCATACACAGAATCCATGTCTCAATTGTCTCAAGGCTTAAAAATCCTTCTTTAACCTGTCTCCTCCCCTTCATCTACACTGATTGAAGTGGATTTAACAAGTGACATCAATAAGGGATCATAGCTTTCACCTGGATTCACCTGGTCAGTCTATGTCATGGAAACAGCACTCAGTTTATATCATACTAAACTCAGCAAAAAAAGAAACGTCCCATTTTCAGGACCCTGTCTTTCAAAGATCATTCGTAAAAATCCAAAGAACTTCACAGATTTGTAAAGGGTTTAAACTCTGTTTCCCATGCTTGTTCAATGAACCATAAACAATTAATGAACATGCACCTATGGAACGGTCGTTAAGACACTAACAGCTTACAGACGGTAGGCAATTAAAGTCACAGTTATGAAAACTTAGGACACTAACGAGGCCTTTCTACTGACTCTGAAAAACACCAAAAGAAAGATGCCCAGGGTCCCTGCTAATCTGCGTGAACGTGCCTTAGGCATGCTGCAAGGAGGCATGAGGACTGCAGATGTGGCCAGGGCAATAAATTGCAATGTCCGTACTGTGAGACGCCTAAGACAGCGCTACAGGGAGACAGGACGGACAGCTGATCATCCTCGCAGTGGCAGACCACGTGCAACAACACCTGCACAGGATCGGTACATCCAAACATCACACCTGCGGGACAGGTACAGGATTGCAACAACAACTGCCCGAGTTACACCAGGAACGCACAATCCCAATCAGTGCTCAGACTGTCCGCAATAGGCTGAGAGAGGCTGGACTGAGGGCTTGTAGGCCTGTTGTAAGGCAGGTCCTCACCAGACATCACCGGAAACGTCGCCTATGGGCACAAACCCACCGTCGCTGGACCAGACAGGACTGGCAAAAAGTGCTCTTCACTGACGAGTCGCAGTTTTGTCTCACCAGGGGTGATGGTCGGATTCGCTTTTGTCGTCGAAGGAATGAGCATTACACCGAGGCCTGTACTCTGGAGCGGGATCGATTTGGAGGTGGAGGGTCCGTCATGGTCTGGGGCGGTGTGTCACAGCATCATCGGACTGAGCTTGTTGTCATTGCTGGCAATCTCAACGCTGTGCGTTACAGAGAAGACATCCTCCTCCCTCATGTGGTACCCTTCCTGCAGGCTCACCCTGACATGACCCTCCAGCATGACAATGCCACCAGCCATACTGCTCGTTCTGTGCGTGATTTCCTGCAAGACAGGAATGCCAGTGTTCTGCCATGGCCAGCGAAGAGCCCAGATCTCAATCCCATTGAGCACGTCTGGGACCTGTTGGATCGGAGGGTGAGGGCTTGGGCCATTCCCCCCAGAAATGTCCGGGAACTTGCAGGTGCCTTGGTGGAGGAGTGGGGTAAAATCTCACAGCAAGAACTGGCAGATCTGGTGCAGTCAATGAGGAGGAGATGCACTGCAGTACTTAATGCAGCTGGTGGCCACACCAGATACTGACTGTTACTTTTGATTTTGACTCCCCCCCCTTTGTTCAGGGACACATTATTCAATTTCTGTTAGTCACATGTCTGTGGAACTTGTTCAGTTTATGTCTCAGTTGTTGAATCTTGTTATGTTCATACAACTATTTACACATGTTAAGTTTGCTGAAAATAAACGCAGTTGACAGTGAGAGGACGTTTCTTTTTTTTGCTGAGTTATTTCTTTATATTTATATATAAACATAGTATTTACAATATACCATGTAACCGGAGACGTCTGGAATAACGTTTCGGACTACAGTCATCTGACACAGCCGACCATGCTTTTTAGTCCAGGACAGGTTTGTTGAGTGTTTTGGTCCCACCAGGCTAGTAGGTTTGTTGAGTGTTTTGGTCCCACCAGGCTAGTAGGTTTGTTGAGTGTTTTGGTCCAACCAGGCTAGTAGGTTTGTTGAGTGTTTTGGTCCCACCAGGCTAGTAGGTTTGTTGAGTGTTTTGGTCCCACCAGGCTAGTAGGTTTGTTGAGTGTTTTGGTCCAACCAGGCTAGTAGGTTTGTTGAGTGTTTTGGTCCCACCAGGCTAGTAGGTTTGTTGAGTGTTTTGGTCCCACCAGGCTAGTAGGTTTGTTGAGTGTTTTGGTCCAACCAGGCTAGTAGGTTTGTTGAGTGTTTTGGTCCAACCAGGCTAGTAGGTTTGTTGAGTGTTTTGGTCCCACCAGGCTAGTAGGTTTGTTGAGTGTTTTGGTCCAACCAGGCTAGTAGGTTTGGGTTGGTCCCACCAGGCGAGGAGTTGTTGAGTGTTTTGGTCCAACCAGGCTAGTAGGTTTGTTGAGTGTTTTGGTCCCACCAGCTAGTAGGTTTGTTGAGTGTTTTGGTCACCACCAGGCTAGTAGGTTGGTTGAGTGTTTTGGTTCCCACCAGGCTAGTAGGTTGTGAGTGTTTTGTCCCACGGTAGTGGTTGTTGAGTGTTTGGTCCCCACCAGGCTAGTAGGTTTTTGTTGAGTGTTTTGGTCCAACCAGGCTAGTAGGTTTGTTGATGTGTTTGGTCCCAACCAGGCTAGTAGGTTTGTGGTGTTGGTCCAACCAGGCTACGGGGGTTGAGTGTTTGGTCCACCACCAGGCTAGTAGGTTTGTTGAGTGTTTTGGTCCCACCAGGCTAGTAGGGGCTAGTTAAAGTGTTCAGACTGTCACAGTCCAGTCTGCCTCTCAACCTCGTAATGCTCAGCCAATCAGTCTAATTCACAGCCAGCTCTACTGTACCAAGCCTGCTCTGCTGGGTGGGAATGTGTATCAGAGCTATTTTACAGATAGAACGCCTGCTGGCTCTTTGTGTTAACGGTTTAAGCCAGTTTTAGAACGTATTACTGTCTGAGAGACTAATGTTGTTCATTAGTGCAAAGTGTAACTGTGTGTGTGGGCTCTAAATTCCCATGTTTTATTGGTAGCACTGGTGTGGAGCACCAGAATAATATATGTTTTAATTGATTGAGATATAGCCTACAATGGGCCCATTTGGCTGCATTTAGACAGGCAGCCCAATTCTGATATTTTTCCACTATTTGGTCTTTTGACTAATCACATCAGATCTTTTCACAGCAGATCTTTTTCAGAGCTGCTCTGGATTGGTCAAAAAGACCAAATCACAGCAGATATTTTTCAGAGCTGCTCTGGATTGGTCAAAAATACCAAATCACAGCAGATCTTTTTCAGAGCTGATCTGATTGGTCAAAAAGACCAAAATCACATCAGATCTTTTTCAGAGCTGATCTGATTGGTCAAAAAGACCACGCAGCCTATGAATCCTACTCACTCCTGAAGAAGAGATCACTTTTCCTTTCTCTCTGTGCCACTAAGTGTTTGCATATACTGGTAAAGTCACCAGGTTGTTAGTAGGGCTGCACGATATGGGCAAAATAATCTAATTGCAATTTATTTTTCAACAAAATATCGCGATACAGATCGATTGATTGATTTTATTTACCAGTTTATAAAACTTGATGGCAATAACAACCTAAAGTCAGACTTATTTCCATTGTTTCCCTAAAGTCAGACTTATTTCCATTGTGGTCCCTAAAGTCAGACGTATTTCCATTGTGGTCCCTAAAGTCAGACTTATTTCCATTGTTTCCCTAAAGTCAGACTTATTTTCTATTGTTTCCCTAAAGTCAGACTTATTTCCATTGTTTCCCTAAAGTCAGACTTATTTCCATTGTTTCCCTAAAGTGCATGGAGCAAAAACAAACAAACACACACATTTAAATGAAGATGATGGACATTGAAAGTTTCTAGTTGGCTTCAGATGATGAAGGAGCTCAGGGCAGGTCAAAACACTTGGCTGAACTGTTGGAATCATAGAAAACAGAATGATTCTTGTAATTTTTATGGTTGGTGTTGCGTGACAACAAATGAAAAAGCCAGGTAGGCGTTACGACAGGGTAGGAACCAAAGTGTTGAACAAGTGTTTTTCCCGGGGACCCTAATCACATTTGAATAAATAGATGTTGCATTTAGACAACTATTTTAGAATAGGCTATCTGATTCAGAACATGGTGTTGCACAAACAACATACTGATCTACGCCACCACTGGTAACTTACCTGTATTAGAGCTAACGTTGGTTTTGCCATAGCTAGTGCATTTAGCTAAACGGCATTTCACTAGCCAGCTAGCTAGTTAGCGATTAGCATTATTTAAGCACACGCCATCCTCCTAACTAACTAGCGGTTTGCAGAGAGCAAGATACACAAACCAATAGCAGAAAAGAGAAAACATGTGGATTCATATTTAGAAGCAACGTGGAAAGCAGCATCGTTCTTCTTCTTGTTCTGGAAGAATACGTTGAGTGCATGAATTGACAGCGTGCTCAGAGAATAAACAGTGGAGGAATGGCGTGCTGCTTGAGGTGACTTGGTGTGTGGGGACGGGTACTGGAGCAAGCAGCCGTGGGAGGCAGCCTGCCTTGTTTGAGCAGTGTAGAGAAGAGTGTCAGTACTAAATATTGTTACGCATTTACATTTTTATTGTGTTTTCTTTTAGTCGCATTGGTGCTCCCAAAATAAAAGTGCAGGTCGCACAGCTGTGTGTATGTGTGTGTGCCTGCAAGCGTGCCTCGCTGCTTGCATTCGTGCACGCCTGTGTGTGCATGTATCTTCCCAGTCAGCCAGAGGATTCCCCCTCCTACCTCTTGGCTAGGTTCTCACTCCCTCCCTCCCTCTCCTCTTCCTCCCTCTAAATATGTTTGTTTCAGGTTGGGATTAAGAAAGAGGAACAGAGGATATCGCCCTCTATTGGAGGTGTCGAAAAAGTATTCATTTCATTAGTCTAAAATTAGAACCTTTTTCCATCCACTTCCTAAATGTAGGGGATTAGATCACAATACAACATCTGTGAATTAACTTCTTCATTAAAATGTTTTTTTAAATGTTTTATATAGAAGTAGGAATATTCTGAATCAACCTTTCTAAGACTGAGCAGTAGGCTTGATCCAGTTTCTGAACATCAAGCTAATTAAAGGAAAATGTCAAAGCCTAATCCACTGGGTTTCTAGCTGTATGCGATCTCTCTCTGCTTTTCCATGAGCAGTTGGTTCGTCTGGAGGGTTCCACGCTGCAGTGCCACAGGGTCTTCTCATGGGTGGTCACCCCCGTTCAGGGCTCCCTGGGCACTGTCTCAGCCTGTGACAGGAAGTGAGCTTTCACGCCGCCTGCCTGCTCCCTGTTTCTCAGATCCAAGCCTACTCCATCTTATTGAGTTATCAGTAAAGGGAGAGAGGAGGAGAGGGGAGAAGGGGAGGGAGGAGAAGGAGGACAGGAGGGAGAAGGAGGAGAAAGGGAGGGAGGAAATAGGGTAATGTGAAGACAGGTTGAGGACAGGAGGGAGACGGAGGACAGGAGGGAGACGGAGAAGGAGGAGAAGGGGAGGGATAGAGGAGAGGAGGAGAAGCAGCTGTGTATTAATATACTCCGTGACAAGTGCTCCAACAGAAGATAGCATCAGATACTTGGAGAGTGATAGGTTTAGAGGTGAGGTTCTGAAACCACTGGGGAGATCATATCTCTATCTGCGGTGGAAAACAGAAGTGACCACTGGATGTGACGAGAGTCATTGGACCCAACCAAGCTTCCTATAATACAACAAGCAGACCCCTACATCCCTCCACCCTTCTGTCCTGCTCAGGCATAGCCATCTATCCCTGGACCCTAGCTCCATCAACCCTCAGCCCCCTACGGTACACCAACCAGATCCCGCACTCCTCCACCACCCCTCTCTCCACCCTGGACCCTAGCTCCATGAACCCTCAGCCCCCTACGGTACACCAACCAGATCCCCCACTCCTCCTCCACCACCCCTCTCTCCACCCTGGGCCCTAGCTCCATGAACCCTCAGCCCCCTACGGTACACCAACCAGATCCCCCACTCCTCCTCCACCCTGGGCCCTAGCTCCATGAATCCTCAGCCCCCTACGGTACACCAACCAGATCCCCCACTCCTCCTCCACCACCCCTCTCTCCACCCTGGACCCTACCGAGCTCTCTGTAGTACAACAACCAGACCTTAAAACCCCCATCCATCCTCCACCATGCTCCTCAAGCCCCTAACTGTCTACCTCTTGGGACCCCCCCCCCCCGGAACAACCACCCAGGCTCCCTGGAACAACCACCATATCCCCCCCCCCCCCCCCCCCCCCCCCAACTCCCTTCCTATAACTCTCCCTCCTTCCGTCTCCCTGTGGTAGGTCATCAACAGACTCTCCTCCATCTTCCTCCTCTTCAGGCCTTATCCGTCTACCCCTGGAGCCTCCGGCTCCCTGAAACAACCACCATATCCCGTCCCCCCCCCGTCCATCCCCCCCACCCCCACCCCCCCCGTCCATCCCCCCCACCCCCATCCCCCCCGTCCATCCCCCCCACCCCCCGTCCATCCCCCAGCACCACCAGCTACAGCTCCAACACCATCATGGACATGTGGTAGGTCTACAACAACCACACTCACCCATCAAGCTGCTAACCGTCTACCCCTGCCTCCACTCCCCATCAAGCTGCTAACCGTCTACCCCTGCCTCCACTCCCCCAGTCTGCTAACCGTCTACCCCTTGCCTCCACTCCCCCCAGTCTGCTAACCGTCTACCCCTGCCTCCACTCACACCCATCAAGCTGCTAACCGTCTACCCCTGCCTCCACTCCCCATCAAGCTGCTAACCGTCTACCCCTGCCTCCACTCCCCCCAGTCTGCTAACCGTCTACCCCTGCCTCCACTCCCCCAGTCTGCTAACCGTCTACCCCTGCCTCCACTCCCCCAGTCTGCTAACCGTCTACCCCTGCCTCCACTCCCCATCAAGCTGCTAACCGTCTACCCCTGCCTCCACTCCCCATCAAGCTGCTAACCGTCTACCCCTGCCTCCACTCCCCAGTCTGCTAACCGTCTACCCCTGCCTCCACTCACCCATCAAGCTGCTAACCGTCTACCCCTGCCTCCCTGGAACAACCACCATACCCCCCCCCCCCACCCGTCCATCCCCCCCCTGTCCATCCCCCAGCAGCACCAGCTACAGCTCCAATACCACACTCACCCATCAAGCTGCTAACCGTCTACCCCTGCCTCCACTCCCCCAGTCTGAGGAGATGGGGGAGGGGGAAACGCTTGGCCACAACTACAAAGCCATGAAATTCCACAGCAACACAGGAAACACACTGGGGAATAGAGGAATCTATAGGTCAGAATAGGAGAATCCCCAACGCTAACTCCAACCCAGAGGACTGTTACTGAGCTTAGTGTGTGTGTGTGTGTGTGTGTGTGTGTGTGTGTGTGTGTGTGTGTGTGTGTGAGAGAGTGTGTGTGAGAGTGTGTGTGAGAGTGTGTGTGAGAGTGTGTGTGAGTGTGTGTGTGTGTGACTGAGATACACCTAGTGGGTTTTATTACCACCGTCTAGAGCCTCCGTGAAAGGAGCAGTGTAGCATGTAAGGGACTAGGTTGGCATTTAGAACACAGCCCAGGTTTGGTTAAAAGTAGTGCACTGTAAAGGGAATAGGGTAGCGAGCCGAGCAGCACTTCTGTATTTCACCATCTGTTCAGTTGTTGACGGAAACGTTGATTTGAGGGAGTTTAACATTTTGTAGAAATTTCTGCAAATTTTGTAGCGCTTGTGGACACACAACACGTCTATGCGTCTCCCAACACACACACACACACACCTCTCTGTCTCCCCCTGTTGTTCATCTCAACTTCTCCACTAGGCCACGGCTCCACAGGACCTTGGTTAGCTGAAACAGGTTTCTTCTAGTATGGCTGTTCATCTCAACTTCTCCACAGGACCTTGGTTAGCTGAAACAGGTTTCTTCTAGTAGGGCTGTTCATCTCAACTTCTCCACAGGACCTTGGTTAGCTGAAACAGGTTCCTTCTAGTAGGGCTGTTCATCTCAACTAGGCCACTGCTCCTCATGACCTTGGTTAGCTGAAACAGGTGTCTTCTAGTAGGGCTGGAGCAAAAGCCTGCCCACATAGCTTTCCAGAAGGAGGGTTGTTTCTGAGAATGTACCTCATTCACTAAATCCTCATTCTTAGTCTTTTTCTGAAACCCTTTAGTGAAGAACCTTAACATTCATCACAGTTCCTTCTCAGTCTCAGGGACACCGCGGCCGATCTCCCCTCTAAGGTATTTCCTAATTGCAGCCTAAGACAGATCACTGGTCAGAGAGAAAGACTGCAATTAAACCCAACAGGAATTCCTAAGGATTAGCTATGACAGACTCCCCAAGATAGCGTTCATTAAAAACGACTCTCTGGAAGTGTCTTACGCTACATCCCAAATGGCACCCCTATCCTCTATATAAAGTGCACTACTTTTGACCGGAGCCATATGAGCCCAGGCCCTGGTCAAAAGTAGTGCACTAAATAGAGTATAGGGTGCCATTTTTTATTTTGCTCATTTGTACCCCAGTATCTCTATTTGCACATCATCTCTTGCACATCTATCATTCCAGTGTTAATACTAATTGTAATTATTTTGCACTATGGCCTATTTTATTGCCTTACCTCCATAACTTGCTAAATTTGCACACACTGTATATGTATGTATTTCTGTTGTATTTTTTTTTACTTTGTTTTGTTTTACCCCATATGTAACTCTGTGTTGTTGTTTTTATCGCACTGCTTTGCTTTATCTTGGCCAGGTCGCAGTTGTAAATGAGAACTTGTTCTCAACTGGTTTACCTGGTTAAATAAAGGTGAAATAAAAAAATTAAATAAAATTTTTGGGGTGCAGCCTTAATCTTCCCCCACTGGTCAGTCGGAGGTGTAAAAGCTCAGACATGCCGGTAGGACTGTCAAACGTTTGCCTGCCGACCGTACTTAGCACCTCTGAACACAGCAAAAACCTTGGAAGTCATCAGCCACTCAGCCCTGTTTAAAATACTCCTGACCAGAAGGTGGCAGTAGCGTTGTTTGGCAATACATATCCGTGCGAATTGCTTATAGTCTAGATTCCCAGCTATCTGCGCTACTAATGTTGCTATTTTGTAGAGCCCTTGTTGATAGCCACAGCTAGATAACTACCTAGTAAGATTACGAAGACAATTTAATTCACTCTCTCATAATCCCATACTGCCAGTGCCAGACCATTGCCGTATGTTTAGCTAGCTAGCTAACGTTAGCATATTCACTAGCTAGCACAACACAGCTAGCTAGCGAAGGACACTGCACTAACCTGGCAGCTAACACAGGCAGCTGTTTCATAGGAAACTAGCTAATCCCGTTGTGATTTAATGATAATGTCAATACTAGCTACAGTGGTTAGCTAGCTTGGAGGAAGTAGTGTTGTGTAGCATTGCGTCTGTGCACTTAGCTAGCTACCATCCCTTAGCCTACATTGCATATGAAGTGTGACTGGCTCATCTGTAGCTGTACGGACACAATGCCCTCTTTCATTTTTTTTTTGTTGGCTCCCACGTGGGGGGTTCGTGCTCTCCGATTGGCTCAAAGTGAAGTTGTCGGCCACTGACGAGCGTTGCGATTCATGCGTGTCGCTACCCGGTCTGCACGCAGGAAGGAAGGGCCTCCCACGGTGATAAGTACCTATCGGCAGTGAGATTTTCTCAGTGCGTTTCATGCTTTGTTCACAAAACATTGAAAGGTGTTTTATTTGTAACTGTTCTAAGAAACCATCAGAAAGCCGAACGAGTGCGCACGCCTAGACTCACTGTTAGTCTACACCTTTTCTTTTACGAAGCATGTGTCAAATACAATGTTACGCTGCTTCAACGTCTCTAATCTGGAACTCGTGTTGATATGAGTCCTTTGGAAATGGCAGCTATACATTATGTTGAGTGAAACCAGGTGTGCGTCCCAAAATGGCACCGTATTCTCTGTGTATTCCCCTAACGGGCCCTGGTCAAAAGTAGTGCACTAAATAGGGAATATGGTGCCATTTGGGACCCCATACAAGGTCTATTCTACCATGTATTAAGACATGAAGCAAGTGAAACAAGACAACGTGACTCGGAGCTCATTAGTGTTGCCTTGACCTGTGAGCGGTTGGTCGGTGCCAGAGGAAGTCATGGAATAATGTGTGAGGTAATGAGGCTGTATCAAACCTACCTGATCCAGAGTCAAACTTCGTCTCTGACCTGCAAAAGGGAGACAATGGATTTTAGTCAATGTCTCTTTTCTCTAACCTACAAAATACAACTTTACAACAAGCATCAGGCACTTCAAAGGTAAAAAAAAAAAAAAAAAAAAAAAAAAAAGGATAAATGAAATTGTTTTCTCTCCTCTCCTTGACGTACATGGGATGTCCTTCCCAACCCAGAGGGAAACAGGTGACCTGGTAACGAAGCTCGTCAGCTACAGTTAACCTTCACTGGGACAGGGGAAGGCCAAGGGCTCTTTAACCAATCAGAGAGAGACTAGGGACTAAGAGGAGGGAAAGTGGCTCTTTAACCAATCAGAGAGAGACTAGGGACTAAGAGGAGGGAAAGTGGCTCTTGAACCAATCAGAGAGAGAGACTAGAAGGGACTAAATGGGGGGGGGGGGGGCACTGGCTCCGAGGAGAGGAAGGTTAGACCAAATCAGGAGGAGATCGGGAGCGGGGGGATACAGTAATGACGTCACCAACCATCTAAACTTACTTGAACAGCGGGGCGCCGCAGACAACACAGGTGTAGATACCATCCTCTTTATAGTCGGTGTATTCCCCTCTGAAGGCACTGGGGAGGAGGAGACGGATCGACACTAGTTACAGTAGTACGGTTTAGTCATTTATCCAGAGTGACTTACAGTTAGTGCAGTCAACTTAAGACAGCTAGGAAGGAGATTTTCCTTCCATAAAAAAGGAAGTTTATCATCAAAGTCAGTGCTAGCAGTACACTTATAATATAATAA